ACGCACTAAGGGTACTCGGAAGCGAAAAGGAAACGAAATGCCGATTTTATAGAGGAAATTAATCCCTCCCTTCTAAACCTTAAGAAAGTGTGCCGTTAACAATCTTCAGTACCTCATTCACTAGGCCTACATACCTGTTCAATACACCACTCGTATTCCTCGTCAGTCTCGCCTTTCCAGGCATAAACTGGAACGCCAGCAGCAGCAATAGCAGCGGCTGCATGGTCTTGTGTGGAGAAAATGTTGCATGACGACCATTGAACCTAAAATCACATAAGAGAAGTGAATGGAACCTCAGCTCGCCCAATTCCTACCACTGACAGAACCGTCCAAAAAATGATGCGAAGTCATTCCTTACAAGAGCGCTATCGTGCAATTCCCTAATTGTCTAATCTCCACTTCAGTTATCAATAATCCGCGTGACGAAAGAGAATAACCATAAACAACCCCTATTAATAGCTGCATACCTCAGCTCCAAGTTCGACAAGGGTCTCGATAAGAACCGCCGTTTGGATGGTCATGTGAAGGCATCCGGCAATACGGGCGCCTTTTAGCGGCTTTGTTGGGCCGTACTTCTTGCGCATCGCCATAAGTCCTGGCATTTCATTCTCGGCAATGATGATCTCCTGAAAAATGGAAGTACTGATATGTCCAATTCTTACAAATTGCACTGTTTTGAATTCAACAGAGGTATAACCATCACACATGCTGAAGTGACCGGTATTCCACGAAAGAAGCCCCTGCCGTTGGAATTTTCCAGGAAAGGTGAAAGAAATCCCTGATACTTAATATATAAGAATCTCAATTTGCCCAGATAATCAGATTAGAGTGACTGATCAGTCTCTCATAAAAACCTTCTGGAAAAATTCTACAACTGCTGTTTCGTAAATGGAGGATGTGTAGAGTAGTAATCTTTTTCACAACGCACCTTACGTCCAAAATCGGCAAGGCCGATATCAGCGACTTTGTAGGCGGGCTTTGAAGCGGCCATTGTGTCGTTTTTTACCTAAAAGAATAAATTATGTTAACATGGAATTTGTGCCAATTAGGGCATTCGAGCAGAGTCGCGTGGGAACAGTTTATAATATGCGGCGAAATCCTACGATTTATACGGTCTTATATCGAAAATAATTGTAGAAGGTGATGAGAAAATACAGCTATCTTAGCCCAAACAAGATACTAGAAAGAACGTGGCCTAAAATTCGAATTAGCAATTTGTGAAAAACGTTCACCTAAGTTGGGTGCAGAGTCTGCAAATGCAGTGGAAACTTCCTCCACACGCAAGAGTTCTCGGACTATCATCAATTTCACTTCCGGTTAGTAGTAAAGGTTTTGTATTGTGAACAATAGTCTATGGGCAGTGATAGTTCAAAAAAAAACTTCCAACTTGATTGCGAAAAAAGCACGACTAAGGCAAAAGTGACTGTAAGCACGCAATTTCACGACCGGGCGCGACTTGACAAATTTAGAGTGTACTGTCTTTTTATAAATTCTGTAATTGCAGAACATACCTTAGTGAGGTTCAGTGTTTAAAAGTGGGTAAATTTTGATTATAATTAACGGGTCTATTCCAGTTAGGGGGGCATCATGATGCAGTGACTCCCAAAAAGCTACGGTAACTCCGAGCCAGGGGGAGTGTAGCCAGCCTAGGGGGTGGGGGTGAGGGCAGTCACTTGACATGCGTGAAAGCTGGAATGTTCGAGTTTACACTAGCTCGCCGAGAAACTGCATCATGATGCCCCCCCCCCCCTAACTGAATAGATTTTCGCTTGCCCTATTGCCCGTTAATTCCTACGGCGCTCACAAGCCTGCGTCGGCGGCTTTAACTGTTCGGCCAGCCGACCCCCAAGCGGAAACCGCCTAAACTTTGGGCCACGCCCAAATGCAACTAAGCAAAAAAATCAGGCGATGTGATCAGGCGAGTGATCAAAACGAGACCAAATGAAAGAGTAACGAGGGAGGGGCGGCGTTAGGTGTTGTAGTGACGGGAAGATAGCGATCGACCGAGCCTTGACCTAACGATGTCGCGGCTTGATAAGAGCGAATTTCCAGGAAATTCTGGGGAGTCGATCTTCGAATAATCTTGCTTGGGCAATTCCCTGACTTATTTGAAGCATTTGAACTCCCTTTCTAAAGAAGCAGAACCAGAGAGGACTGGATAATTGAACCACATATTATGGAGGGGAATACACCATGCCTCTGTTACCTCCGAAAATTCTTGAAACTACGTAAGACGCAAGAAAAAATGAAGCTAGCATATCACGCTCACTCTTACTTCTTCAGGTTTGGACCACTTCGTCGCCAACTCTTGTGTTTCGGGTAAACTTCAGGTAAAAAGATATGGCAGGACTCTAGCAATGGGAAACACAGCTGTGCTCAGACCGCCACTTTACGTTCACCACCGCCTTTTATAATATTTCATTTTTTCATTAACTTGTTTCCAATGAGAATTTCGCGGTTTTTCAAGCTTCTTTACAAGGGTCGCCGTTTTTCCTACTTGTTTAAGGAGGGATTTCTTTGCACAAATTAGACGTTCTTTGGGAAAAACGCGAGCGCATATGCTCTAATTTCGTGATCCTTCCTGTCTACCACTTCTCACAAAATCCACCGCAGAATGTTCCGTGAAAGAACCTATCAAAAAATGCACATCTTGGGAAATAAGCGGTCGATTGAAGGCTTAACTCGGACAGGGATCGTATGAACGATTCCCTTCATTCTGTAGGACGCCCTTAGAGGACAATCACAGATGTGGCATTCCCGTGCACGGAAATCACCCGACAAGAGCGCTAGGGCCTTGCAAAGTAAGCTGCAGCAGCTGCAATTTTTTCTTTATCAGGCTGTTGTCTGGCGCCCTCTCATCTGTGCGCTCTCTCGCCTCATACTCTCCTCTCCGCGCTTAGTCTCTCATTCCCTTAGCACAGCCGATTAGAAGGTGAGTGAGCCCTTAACCTAAGCGTTTTCGACGGATTCTTTTCCTTTTTTCTTTACTGCCGGCCCACTTGCACCAATACATTCACATTCGTGTGCAAGAGCCACACCAGTGCGATCCTGGGGCATGCCTTTAAGAGAAAACATTGAAGAGTGTGACGTATGTATGTGAGAACCTAATGGGTTTATGTTAATCGCGATGAGACTTAAATTCCTACTCCGATCCTTCGAGTCCGCCCAACTCGATGCTCTCGCTGGCTTCTTGCTTACCAGCGTGGGCTGTTATTGCACTGCGATTTCAATTTAACTTTTGCCACACTGTAATTGGCTCACCACATTGGAGTTCCTCCCCCTCCAAGGCTTAGTCGCAGGGCTCTCATTTCCTTCCCTGGGATTTGTATCAGAACCGAGCGCCATTCTCTAACTGTTTGTGTTCTCTCCATTCGTGGGCAGGACATGTAGAGGGAAACTTCAAGTAGTCGCAACATCTATCCAAGATTTCTAACGACTTATGTATGAATGTCACTAAAAGTAACGATGCGAAAGAACGATGCCTGTTTGGGGATTCGCATGTATTGCGAATGCCTTCAGTTTATTGTGTGGTGGTTGAACGTTATTTATCTCAGAAATAGATTCAATTAGACCGGTGATGGATCGTAATAAGCGTTATCTTGTCATAAACTGCAATTTGTGATATGTATTCTTCTGTGTGTTGGCTAGTACATCAAGCGATGTTATTTTCGGAGATATAGAGGTGACGCAGAAATTGAAATGGGCCTTCATTCCCTTCGCATGGCCCGAAACCAGAATGTATCACCTGTTCTGATGAGCGATTCATATGACCTAGCCTATTATGAACAACCTGACTAATACATGCCGGAATCTCGTGTTACTACATGTTCTGTTTGAATCACGCCACAATTAAAAAGGCTTTGCGATTCCTATGTGACTGTCGAATGATTGGCCTGGAGGGGGTCAACGAGAGTGTCTTCATCTTTTTTTTGACAAAGATTGCTGGGTTCTTGAAGCAACACTGCGCAGACGGGACTCGATCTTGTCCGTTGGGGGCGAAAGTTTTTACGGTTTGTGTTTGTTTACCGAGTGTCTGGGGGAAAGTTTTCATACCCACCACAACAGTTCCCACCAGATTTTGTGATTACATTGGCAAGGCGAATACTGCGGTCAAAACAGCAGTTAACAAACAATAACAGGTCACTCCTTATATCTTCTTTGAAATCGACTTAATATCAAGTGAGCAGATGTGGCAGTTGGCAATCGTCGTTACTGGTGCACGGTTCGGTTGATGAATCCCGACAAATCTTCGTTCACTCATCCATTATTTTGCGAGATCATGAGATAACGACTTCGATAGTAACCATAAGTTAAAGACGCTGATATGTACTATTGGCCGGCCATGGTGAGTTATTGCGTCGGCCATATTGCATTCAAACATTAATTGACAACAAATAGCAATAGAATGCGTGGCGCGTCACAGAAGTGATTTTTAGCGGCGAACACTTTGTTTTTGACCAACAAGTGAAAAGCGCTTCATTTCACAATCCACGTGCAAGATTGTACTATTCGCATTGACGTGCTATGATGTTGAGAACAACGTGACACACAAAGAACGATCACCATCAATCAGCAACGATGACAAAAATGATGGCACTATTTCGAAATATTGTGGGATTCAGGAGTGCATTGCAAACCGCTGAAAAGGCCAGTAACAATTCAGCCAACAGCTGTGACGGGCTATTTAAAACGAACGTTTAGTGATGAAAGAACCATGGGAAATTGCATAGTACATCATATGCGAACAGGGTCAATCATCAGTTGGGAAATTCGCAACAAGGGGGAATGGGAAGGGGGGACGGGAAGACGTTCGATTCTCCTCTTAGGTCAGGTCACCAGAGCTGCGCGATCCTGAAGCCTGGGGTATTGTTAAGTTCAGGCTCAGGCTTATTAGTCTTGTGCTTACCCATTGACTTATGCGTAAGCCCAGGTCTAACAGGCTTAGTTAAGGATATTACGAGGCTTGTTACAATCATAATGGAGATCTAATAATCTGAGGTGACTTGAGCTGAGCAGGAGAACCGAAACACACCTGCGGGGGGGGGGGGGGTGACGAGCCAAACTGGATAGCGCATTTCTTGGACGATTGGGAAGAGAAAAATTCTGAAGGAAGGAGATTTTTTCGCAAAAATCAAAAACATTCCAGAAAATTCGTTTTTTTCTGCCGTTTTAGCCGTTGTATAGGCCCGCCTATCGACGCACTCTTTTTAAGTGGAAGAGAGTGGCAGGAAAGGCCATCCTTTGGAAGGTCGTTGAAAAGGTATCCCTTCCCTCAAAGTAAATTTGACTGTGCCTGCAAGTAACAAAAGACACATTGAAGTTCCTTGTCAAATTCGGGCCTTATAACTACAACAAGTTGACCACACACTCATTAGGCCTATTTGGACGAATGAGCCGTAAGCTTCTACGAGTGACCTTATTTCAGCTCTCGTAACTCCACGGAATCATCATACTAATTAAAGATTTGAACACATCGACTACAGCGCGGGACACATACGTCCCGCACTTACACCATGTATTATCGGGTACGAAAGATAGTACACTTCTTACCAATAGTGAAGTTAGCAAATTAATAGCACAAAAAATGGGTAAATGTGCAGACAACGGCTGTCGTCAATAAAATCAACAAAGAAACATGAGCAGAGAATCCACCAGCACTCTTTTGAGCGCGCGCCGTGCACAAGGCTATTACTGCAAATCATTTTCGAGTTTGGATGTGTATCTAGCCTATACATACAACGGTGAAGGGCTCAATCAAATTTTAGGTCAGCGATTCGAAACTCCTGAATGAGTCTGATACCGACGCAAAGTCGAATGCGGTAAAGTTAGATTGACCAGCGGCGAGATTCCATCATTGAGCCGCGCGACTGGATCTACGCGTCTGATTATCAAATAATGTCCAATTTAACAATGCCAATTATCTATCTGTGCCCTAAAACAGCTGGAAATCAACTCAGTCACTGAAAATCAATCAATCAAATCACTTAATAA